TCGCTGTTGCTGTTGTTGTTGCTGTTGTTGCTGTTGTCGTTGCGGTTGTTGTGGTTGCTGTTGCTGCTGCTGCTGTTGTTGTTGCTGCTGCTGCTGCTGTTGCCGTTGTTGCGAGTTGTTCTGCTGCTGCAGCCGCTGCTGATGTTGTTGTCGTTGCTGTGGTGCCGTTCCTGATGTTGTTTATGTCGCTGCTGTTGCTGGTGATAGCATGATGCTGTGGTGCTATTTTGGTGACAGGACAGCGACATCACTTGCTCTCTCCATATCCACTACCTCTTGCGTTCCCACCCAAGCTCCGAGGAACTGAACCTGCTGCGCGGCGACAACGCGCCGAAGGCTGTCGCGAGCCACAACGGGACACTTTGCTTCGTGGGCAGCAAGCCTCGGGAGCCCACGCCGCACAAGGGACTGCTTTTGCCAACTTCGGGTCGCTGTTGGAGGAATGTCTTCAACGTCCTCTTCCAAACCTGCTGCGGCTCTTATTTCCAGCACATTGATGTCCGAGCAGGGTGCGTGCATGGCAAGATGCGTTGCAAGGTATGAAGACTTGGGAGCACGGACCGTGCGGTGTTACATCGAGACTAGCTTCTTGTTGCACTGATTGCTGAGGGGTCACTGCAGCGAGACGAAGGCATGTCTTGCGAAAGACAGTTGCTGTAGTCGTAAGCTTGCACGGTGGGAAGTAGTGTCGCTGGGTACAGGATCTACCGAAACCAAAGAGCATCCTGCATGGGAAGCCGAGGTGCTGATCTTGTGGACCAGTCCAATTGCAGTCAGAACAGGAGCATCGAATCTCAATCTCATCTAGCAGCGACTGTGCCAGGATGTTGCGCCTCGGCGCTCACGTCGCAAAAAACTCGAAAGCCTCTCTCAAGATCTCTCAAGCTCGGGTTTAGGGTTTAGGGTTTAGCACGGTTTAGGGTTTAGGGTTTAGGGTTTAGGCATCATCCGTTGCTCCCAAGGCTCTGGAGCCCTGAGGCATGCATGACGGCATTGCAGGTGGGACAGGCGTGTCGGCGCAGAAGTGCACGCTCGATGCAGCTTCGGCAGAAGACGTGCTGGCCTCAATTAACTGGAGTGATCCCTGTTCCCGAAGGAAACTTTTAGGGTTTAGGGCTTTGGGTTTAGGGTTTAGGGTTTAGAAGATTCTACGAAGGCAACCTGGATGGAAAGCAAAGCTTTGCTCCGTGGCCGAGCGGCAGTGGCCCAAACCGTTTGCAGAAACGGGGTCGATGAAAACGTCGGTACAGATGACGCAGCGCAGTGACTTTGACACTGCTTTGGGATTCACAATTCGCTCATCGCCCAAGCCCATGCGTTCATGCAAACATCTTTGGCAGGAATTCAGCACACCCTCTTTGAGCCCGAGCCGGGATGCCCTCTTGCTGTTGCTCTGTAGTCAAAACCTGAGACCTGGAGAAACTCCCCAAAGCCCTTCCTCCCAAGGCTCCAGAAATCCAGAAACATCAACCAGAGGCCCCAAAGCCCAAAGCTTCAAAAAGCGGGCGACCCACTCTGGTTGAAGTCTGTGCGTTCCGGGCAGGAAGGGTTCAGGTGCAGGCCGTAGACTCACTGTGAACTTTAGAATGTACGGTAGCGCAGGCCTTGAACGCTTGTAGCCCCCACTTCCCTGTAATTGGGACCCTTGCGCTTTTGCGACGGCCACGGTCCTCAAAACTCTGGAACGCGTGAATCAAGGGTGCAGGGGTCTCTTCCACCCCCTAAAACCGGGCCCCAAACCCCCGGAGTGCCAAAATCCCAAGCACGTCCAGCCCAGGACCTATGTTAGACCTCGGGAACTTGGAGGCTCCCTTTGAAGGCTCACGGGACCTTACAAGCTCACCGTTGCTCCAAGGTTTAGGGTTTAGGGTTTAGGACCTAACAAGCGTACTGATAACGCCCCTACCCTTATCTAAGTCCCATGATCCTCCAAGTAGAGCATCCCAAAAGCCTTCGATGGGCAAGGCCAGGAGTAGCCTCCTAAAGCGAGAGCAAGACGACTGAGGGCTCCGGGGCTTCGGAGGTTTGGGCCAAGGGCCTTTGAGTCTCAGAAAGTCATCGGGGCAAGTGGGGGCACCGATAGAACCCCGTCGGCTGCAGCTGCTTCTCAAGCAGGGACATGGTAAGTTCAGCTGAAGGGCAGAAGCTCCGGTGAGCAGCAGAGACATCAGCGCGAGGTCTATGTTCTGTAGTATATAAAAGTATGCTATCGTATATTGTAATATGCCGTAGTATAGTATCGTATACTACAACATAGTATAGCATATTCGACAGTTCTCCCATGATGCTCCACCAACCCTAAACCCTAAACCTTACACTATTCTTCAGGCGAGCTGCGAGCAGAAAGCTGAGGGGGGAACAGAGTGCCAGTTGGCAGAGGCGGCCAAAGAAGCGACCGAAGAACGTGATGGTTTAGGGTTTTTGCTTTTTGCAAATTTATAAGCACCCCTTTTTTAGATTCATAGGGTTTAGGGTTTAGGGGTTTAGGGTTTAGGGTTCAGAGGAGCATCGGCTGAAAGGCAACAGCGCCAACCCCTGGGATCCAGGCCATTGTTCCGGGAAGACACAAGGTAAGCATGGTTACGAAAGCAAAGATGAAGGCCACCTCGGGAGTGCGAAAGAGCCTTCGGGGTCACAGGTTCAGGCCAATGCGGGATGCTTATAGCATGGTATAGTGTATAGTATTAGTATGGTATAGTATAGTATGGTATAGTATAGCATAGTATGGTATAGTATAGTATAGTATAGTATAGTATAATAGAATATCTGTTAATGGAGGCTTGAGAGCCGCACATAACCAACTGCGCCATAGTCCCGCAGCGATTGCAAAGACAGCAGCGTCTCGCGGGTGATGTTCATCAACTCCTTTCACGAACACAAGCAAACTGTACATATGTGTGGCAGGAATCAGTGAGGGTTTAACGATCAACTAGGCTCATGCTCCGGCAAGAAGGCTGTGGCACCAGTGTTTCTCATCTTGCCCTACCCACACGTCTGGAACCGAGGGTGGCAACTCAGCGACCAGCCTCTTTGCCGCCCTTCTTGTAAATGTATGCCTTATCTCACACACACACACACAACAGCAATAACGGCACGGAAGCAACGAAAGGAACGAACATAGCAGTGACATAGCGCCCTGACCACCCTCAGGCCGTCCCATCAATGTGCTTTGTCCCTGCAACAGTGCTCCCGCATCTTCTTGTCTGACACGATGCCGCAGCCAGTGCCAGCACACCGCCCAGGGCGAGGATGACGTAGCGCTTGGAAGACTGGGCACCGCTACTTCAGGGATCTGAGCCTACGCGAATAGAGACTCTAAGGTTGCTCCAGCCACAGAAATTTACAGAGACAAGTGTCCCAGGAAAGCAACCGAGCAATCCGAGAAGGTAGCCAATGTCCCAAGGCAGCATCACCCTTGCTTTTCTTACCATTGTTATTACTACTAAAAACGAGATTCCGCGGAAGGATCGCCCGCGCCTTCTTGCCATCCTTGGGGTTCGAACTCGGCGAGGTCTTCGGATCCTGGAGGGCGAAGAAACTTCATGGAAAGAACACCGGATTCGTGACCGAAAACCTGTAGCCCGTAGCCAAATATGCAACTGTATATATATATATATTTTTTGAATATACCTGCATATCATGTCTATCCGTGTTTTTGTTTCTTTTCGGTCAAAGCGCTCGTCTATCATCCTTTATCTATCTATCTATCTATCTATGTATGTATGTATGTATGTATGTACGTACGTACCTGTGTATATATGTATTTACTTGTGTACGTATATGTGCATGCACATGTCTAGGTCTGAGTCTAGGTTTAGGTGGAGGTATAGGTATACGTGTGGGTGTGGGTGTAGGTATAGGTATAATTCGATATAGGCAAAGGCATAGGTATAGGAAAGCTTGGTATAGGTGCAGGTATAGGCTTCAGTATAGGTCTAGGTATAAGGTCCAGGTATAAGTATAGGCCTTGGTATGGGTTGATAGATGGAGGGACAGATTGACAGATAGACAGATAGACAGATGGATAGGTAGATAGGTAGCTAGGTAGATAGGCAGATAGATGGGTAGGTAGATAGATAGATAGATAGATAGACAGATACACAGATAGACAGATAAACACAGACAGCCGCAGACAGACAGGTAGATAGGTAGGCAGTTAGGTAGGTAAACACGTGGGTAGACAGATCGCAGAAAGGTAGATAAACAAATAGGTAAGTAGATAGCTACATTGAAGCCATCACTGAACCTTACACCTTACACCTTGAGCCTCTTGATTTGGTAATGAAGAGCCTGGCCTTCTCCTTCATCTCCTGCGGTGCCGTGCCCGTCATTATGGCCGAGCCGCGCAGAAGGGCGTCAGAAGAAGAGAGGTAAAGAGGAGCTGGAATGACAAACAGGGGGTTACTTGCTGCTTGGCTCCTGTTTCGTGGGGACTGTACCTGGAGTATATGGAATCATGCTGCATCGAGCTGCGGCATGCACGCTATCAGCCTGTTCTACAGTCCATCCCTCAATGTCGATAACAACTAGCCACGGCATATACCACCACTTCTGAGAAACTCCTCTCCAACGAAACGTTGTTTTGGCATTGCCAAACCACTGCAAGCCCGCTGCGTGCCAGTTCCTAAACGTCCTGCAAGCGGCGCACCTACACCCCAACATCGATCGATCTCAAGCTTCTCCTGCTTGACCGTCGGGGCCTCTTGGCTCGAGTCGCGTAGGGCTGCTGTGTCCAATGTTCGGCGGAGGTCTACCGAACAGCACTGAGCAAACGGCGCCTCGTCCGCAACAACCGCGGAGGCCATCATTGAATCATGGCAGAGAGGCACGAAAAACAACCGTAAACATCGTCAACGTAGCAAGATATGCAAGATCAGCTGGCCTAGTCAAGGTAGTCTTATCGGCCTGGCATATTCAACAGGTCCTTGACACTGCATCGTGGAATCCAGCATGGGCCCGAAGCGAATGGAGCTGCGGAATGCCGATCACCAGTCGCAGCTTCACAAAACACTGTGGCATTGATGCGGGACCCGGACCCCTCTTCGTTTTGGAGCTTTGCCGCTAGGTCTCGTAGAGGTAGGACATGGTGCCCAAACCTGCCGTCTTGCTGCATCAGAAACCCGAACTCCGACCCACATGTCCTCGCCACCTCGAGATGTCCAGGACATGGGCAGCAGCAACCTGTGCACAGAAGGGTAAACTGCCACAAGTGCAATGGACCGAAGCAGGGCGTCCCAATGCAGCGAAGTGGCTCCCCGACTTCTCTTAGCAAAGGCAAGGGCTGCAACGAGGCCTTAGATGAGCTCGCCATCATGAATCCCATCACAAGCTCGAAAGCCAGCCAGGCACATGGGCAGAAGTCACCAAAGCAAATCTGGGCCCTGTGCATGTGGTCTGACCATTCCCCCGACCCGGCATGGACGGTTCTGTCTTGCATTTCAGCTACCGGCTGAAACTTGCAGACTGTGTATCAGCGCGAGCTCATTTGGACGACTCAACAACTGCGAACCCTGCATGGAGCTTGAAATTTTCGATCTCCAAAATCTTCCACGAAACCGGCTTTTGTCGAGGCACGACGCCTCGGAGCTGTCGCCCCTCCTGAAAACGAGCTCTGCCCCAGGGGCGTTCTCAAGGCTTTGATGACGTCCCACAAAAACTCCTTGCCTGCTGCACCTTCTGGGCAGATGCGAAAAGAGTGGCTTCGTCGAAGCAGAGCGAAGAGAGGTAGATGTGCGTGACATCGCTGATGTCTGCCTCCAACCTCGACTAGTACACAGCTCCCGGGCAGTATAACAGAGTAATCGATGCTGTCGACCGAGGGGCAGATTGCCTTGAATGAACTCCACCTTCCGCAGGTCAAGGACACAAGGTGTTAATGGAACACCTGTGGGCAAGGACAAATTTGCTTCCTTGACCGTCCGGAGTCCAGAATGCGACTCTTACAGGCTTCGGAGATTTAAGGTGTCTAGATGCAACGCAGGAAACCCTGGTTGCCTTGCAGTGACATGGAGTTCGGCTGCATCCTTGGTCCAAGCTTCGCACCAACCCCCCAAAAAAAACCGAAGCAGCTCTAAACTCAAAAGAAATCTCAACACACCCGGTCCGAGCCTCGTCCTGAGGGCTTGCCTCCTCCTGTCATAGGGTTTCTTATTGCAGAAGCACACATTCTGATGCCACACGAAAGGCTTTGATTCATTACAACGGCGTTTATGTTGGCTGGGTGGGGAAATGCATATGTGGCTACCAAGAGACAATTGCCGAGGCTCTTTGCAATTTTGGATCTCGCTTGGCGACGGACTGGCGGGAATTGCCCTAAGTCGCTAATTTCTGAGCCTAGCTTGTTTCCGGGCATGACACCCCAGGCCACAGGCAAAAGTACGTGTTGACAGATCCACAAGCGGAGAGCCTGGCACCCCGATGACTTCAGCAGCCGCTGGCGGAGCTCGAACGCCTATGTTCGGACAGGAAGGGCCAGAGGCTGAAGCTACAGGCATCGAACCTTGAACTATGATCTGCAAGCCTAGGCCTACAGATTGAAAGGGGGTTGAGGGTTGCTTTCTATCAAGTTCAAGTGATACTCATAGCCAATGAAAAGCCTCGCAGTAGAGCGCCTGTAGTTCCCTCGATGGGAAAAGATCTCCCACTCTTCTCAGAGCCCCCGAGTTGTGTGAAGTAGCATGATGTTGATGAGGGCACACGTGTCTGATGCATTGGACATCATGCCCCGACAGCCAGTTGACACTCGTGCGTGTGTAGGGTCTCATGTCGGCGCCACAATCACGGCTGCCCCTGGACACGGAATGGTCTGTCGAAGGCTCTACATTCGCCAAGCTTGGACCCGCAGCCATCGGAAGCTCTGAAACTTGCTGCCGCCTGCCTCGTCACTGAGGAGCAGCGCCTTAGTAGCGGTTCAGAGAGCACCGCGGCTCTGGCTCTCTGAAGCTCGGCCCTCCCCACAAACACTACTATAGGGGACCGTAAGGGGACTATCATAGGGGATCCATTCCCCCAGTCCCTACTCAGAACCACTTTACTATACTATTATATATATATATATATGTATACATATATATATATATGTATATATATATATTATATAATATAATATAAGCTCGGCCCTCCCCCAAAAAGGAGAAACCCAGGCCTCCCAGGCCTCCCGCGCTCTCCGGCAGCGCGTGGCCGACAGCTCCACGCCCAGGGCACGGCCCACTCCAGGGCACTCCAGGTAGACCTGCACCTGAAGTTTAGGGATACTCTTCTGAATTTAGGGCTATAGGGTTTAGGGTTTAGGGTGTGAGGCATGTCATGGCCTCTCTTTACGCATTTTTGCGTATCCCACTAGAGGGTGCAAGATGCGGTGCTCAAGGACCCCCAGGCTTCGAAGGGATGCTTCGCTTTTTGCTGAGTGCTTTCTTCCTGAGAAGTCCGGGGAGCCACCATCTTCCCAACCCCGCAGCCAAGGTCTGCAAAGATGCCAGGCGCCCCTGCGCTGAGACATCAAGGAAAACCTTCGGGCCCTGGTATATAAACGGTACAGCCCCCTTTGTGGGATTTTCAAGTTGGGGCTCGAGGGTTCTTTTCCCTGCCTGATGAGACGAGGAGATGCCAGTGAGATGCTCCAGTGGTCAGCCAACCACATGATTTCCGTTGGCCCTCATCGGCCTACTGCTTCGTGCCTACCGTCGTGTTTACCGTGCTGCGCTCCCCAAGATGTTTAGCGGATCTCTGCTAGGCCCAGGCTGGACCTTCCGTGTCGTCCAGCCCCCAACGCTCGGCCAGAAGCCTCACCTAAGCCGGGTTTAGGCGCAGACATGGCCAAACGATTCAGCGAAGGAGCTTCGGAAACGATGCTACAGCACCAGGATCACGCAGCAGCCGCATCAATCCCGAACTGCAGCCAAACCACCTCAAGCCCGAACCCCCGTGCTCTGCATCTCAGCCAAGACCAGGGACACCCTCTGCAGTCAGCTCGCCATACCTGGGATCACTACGGGTTTGGACCACAGCGTCTGCAAAGATTTCCGGGTGCTAGATGTTGGGGACATGACTGGTAGCAGAACTTCCGAAGCCCACTCTTGCTCGGTTGCGTGGAGGGCTTCGAGCCCCTGGCGCCGCGATCCAGCCGCCGCTGCTCCTTGGCCTGGCGACAGGTCTCAAGGCTGAACACAATCGGATCGTCGAATGCCGTCCCAGGCTCGGAGATGCTGTAACCTTCGCGGCCGCGCCAGTAAGTGGCCAGCACCCGGTCAACGTCGACGCGGAGTGACTGGCACAGGGCAAAGCTGGACTTATCTTGCAGGACTGTGGAGCGCAGAACGCGCTGTAAAAAGCATGGAGTGTCTCTGATAAAGGCTCCGCATGAATGTGGCAGCAGCGTGGAGCTGCGCTAGCATCCCGTCACTAAAAGTCAAACACACTTGCCGTTTTCACGCGGAGTCTCCAGCTCCTCTCTCTCCACAAATGCCTCCCCCCTCACCAGTGTCACCCCCGGCCCATCACCGTCAGATCATTGAGAGGGAGAAAGCAGCAGGCTGGCAGTGGGGCTGGTGATGATGTTGGTGGTGGTGAGTAGTAGTAGTAGTAGTAGTAGTAGTAGTAGTAGTACTAGTAGTAGTAGTAGTAGTAGCAGTCGTGGTGGTGGTGGTGGTGGTGGAGGTAGTGGTAGTGGTAGTGGTAGAGTAGTAGTAGTAGTA